GAAGGTAGGAGGAGTGCCGTCCAGGGGAGGGGGCAGTGGTGCTGCCCCACGGTTGGAGAAAGAAAGCGGCGGAGGGCCGCAAACAGAGTGTAGTGAGGTGTTGGTGGTGGCGCAAGGCACTGGGGGCGGGGAGAGAGCGGGGAGTGAGCTCAGTCTCTCCAACGGAGCCTCTTTTCGTCTCTATCGTCCCGATCGTCGGGGCAACCTCCGCCGCGTTTGCCACCCGTCTGCCAGCGATCTTCACGCCATCCATCACTCCACTCGCCCTGCCAGCTGCCCCAGGTGTCCCAGGAGTTTGTCGCGCGGTCACGCCAGCCGGTCTGGTGGTAGCTGCCTTTGCCCCTGTCGTCTGTACGGGAGTGTCGCAGGTAGTTGGCTCGTAGCCTATCCCAGTCAATACCATAGCCCAGCCTCGTGTTCATCTGGTAGGCGTCATACCCGCAGTCCTTCCAGGCATCAAGAAACTTGTTGATGTCCGTGGCCGTGTGCAGTTTCGGGTCGGATTTGGGCGCCCTGGATCCAGGGAGCCAAGTTCGCTGCGTGTTTGCTGTCCACAGCGCGCAGAAGACTGCGCCCAACTCCGACTGAAGCCTGGCTATGCGTCTGGCTGGAGTCTCGTTGGGACGTTCCAGGTCAACTGTGCCCAGCCAGACTTTGTACATGGGGCCGCCCCCTTCCGGACAGGTCAACCGGTTGAGTGCATCCTGCTCCGATGTACCAGTATGGCGAGGGTGATAGCGCCTCTGTCCAGGGAGCTGCGGGGTGGGCGCGGGAGAGCGCTCGGACCGCAAGCCACCTCGGTCGCGGGCTCTCTCGTCCCTCGCGGGGTCCCGGGCTGGATCGCTACTGCGGTCGGCGTAGGGCGCTTCTTCCCCGGCTGAGGTCGCGGTATCCTCGCGGCTGGAGTTAGAGCTGTCCGCCGATGGGCTTTGCTGAGGCGCCTCTTCGCCTGAGCGATTATCATCGTCGTCCTGGGCCGACTCTGAGCAAGTAAGAGGACGAGGGGGTTCGTCTTCTCCGAAGTCGGGAGACTCCACCTTTGTAGGGGGGATCCCGTCTTCCGCGCTCTCGTCGTTGCCGTTGTGGTCGGGCGGGTCCTGGTGGCCCATACGCGAGTCGTTGTCCATCGTGCCCTGGGACTTGTCTGTGTCGGCAGCCATGGGAGTGTCTGGTCTGTCGTCGCTCATAGCCAAAACGCCTGTTGGGGGAGACTCGGCCAAGGAGGTGATGGATACAGCGGCGAGGGCATCGGCACCGAGGCTGAGTAGGAAGCCCGTCAGCGTGCTGATCTCATGTCGGATGGGATCGAGGCCATTTGCCGGGGCCAGCGTCGCCGCATAAGTCCTCCAGGGCTCCTTATGTCTCTCGCCGTTGGCCAGGTGTGCTATGACTCGCGCCGCGGCCGCGCGCTTACCTTCCCAGCGCTGGTTGGGAGGGAGACAGTCGTCTGGGGTGTAGTCACCATATATGGTCCTAAGGAACTCTGACAGGAACTCGTCTGGCAAGGAGGCCTCGTCGCAGCTGGGCTCCGGGGCGCTTCTGTCGCGGTTGGCGATACAAAACTGCCTCCAGGTGTAGTCCAGTCCAGGATGGAAATCGCGGAGGAATTGCGTCAAGAATTGCCCTCCAGAGGCCTCCGGGGATACTTTGAAGAGACCCGAAAAAACATCCCCGATGATTCTGGCCCACAACCCAAGCACTGTGGCGGGGTGGGACAAAGCCCATTGGGATGATCATGCACATCATCAGCATTGTTGTCATCGGCATCTTCGACCACATCATGGGCAGCATCAGTGTCATCATTATCCACACCAACAACACATGTATCATCATCGTAAGCGTCAGCATCCCATCAGCACCAACATCCGCATCGCGGCAGCCAAGCTTACCATCAACAACATCTTTGTCACCACCATCCACACCAACAACATGCGCATTGTCACACTAAGCGCCATCACCCTAGCCAGCATCAGCGTCCACAAACAAACTGCCAGAAACATCATTATCGTGAACGTCGCCATCTGCAGCATCCGAGTCCTCATCGTACTCCTCATCAGCATCATCGAAATCATTATCACAACTATCAGCACCATCATCATCATCACAATCACAATCGTAACCATGAGCGTCATCAGCAGTACCCCCGTCGACAGAATCATCGCCACGATCGTCCAAACCCTCCTCGTCGTTATAAGCAGAAGCTTCGGCCTCATCATCATCGTTGTCGCCATCATCATCATCGGCATCACCACCACGAACACACGATCTCCGGAGACCTCCGGGGACCTTCGTGGATCTCTGGGGAACGAGGTCCAGGGCGGGAGCAAAACTTACCATCAACAGCATCCTTGTCACCACCATCCACACCAACAACATGCGCATTGTCGCAATAAGCGCCATCACCCTAATCAGCATCAACGTCCAGAAGCAAATCACCAGAACATGATTATCGTGAACGCCGCCATGTGCAGCATCCAAGTTGTCATCGTACTTGTCATCATCGCCCAAATCACTATCGCAATATCAGCACCACCATCGTCACAATCAAAATGATTGCCATCAGCACATCCCCCGTCGACGGAGTCATCACCGCGATCGTACAAACCATCCTCATCATCATAAGCACACGCTTCAGCCTCATCATCAGCATCATGGTCGTCGTCGTCGTAATCATCATCGTCATGGGCATCACCACAACGAACACAATCAGCATCACCATTACCATCGTCGTCGTCATGATTATCATATGCCTCATCATTAATCATCATCTACTTATTTCCCTCCCTTCCTCCTCACCAACCACCATTAATGCTGTTGTCCTCCTCAACACTTTTCAACCACGAGCGCATTGCCATAATGAGAGCCATCACCCTGATCAGCATCAACGTTCAAAAGCAAGTCACCCGAAACATCATTGTCGTGAACGCCGCCATGTGCAGCATCCAAGTCATCATCGTACTCATCATCATAATCATGATCCAAATCGGGCATCTCAACATCAGCACCACCATCATCATCACAACCAAAATCGTTACAATGATCGCCATCAGCATGTCCCCCGGCTACGGAATCATCACCACGATCGTACAAACCGTCCTCATCATCAGAAGCGCACTCTTCAGTCTCATCATTATCATCGTCGTCGTCATCATCATTGTCATGGGCATCACCACCACGAGCAGAATCAGCATCATTACCATCGTCGTCGTTATGATCATCATCTCCCTAATCATTATGATGGTCCTTATGACATGCTATCCTCTACCTGCTTCCCTCTCTTCCTCCTCACCAGCACCATTCATTTTGTTATAGTCCTCAACAACGGGCGCATTGCCATAATAAGTGCCATCACCCTGATCAGCATCAACGTTCAAAAGCAAAGCGCCAGAACATAATTGTCGTGAACGCCGCCATGTGCAGCATCCAAGTCATCATCGTACTCATCATCATCATCATCATCATCATCATCATCATCATCATCATCATCATCATCATCATCATCATCATCATCCAAATCCTTATCTCAATACCAGCACTATCACCAGTACAATCAAAATCGCCGGGTGATTCGGGAGTCCAGTGAGTCCGGGAGTTCTGTGGGTCCTGCGAGTCTGGTCAGTCCGGCGAGTCCGGCGGGCCCGGTGGGTCCGGCGGGGCCGGTATGTCAGGTGTGTCCGGTAAGTCCGGTGTGTCCGGTGTGTCCGGTGTGTCCGGTGTGTCCGTTGTATCGGGTATGTCCGGTGTGTCCAGTGTGTCCGGTGGCGGGGCGTGTCCGGTGAGTCCGGTGAGTCCGGCGCGGTGGCTGGGGCAGCAGGGAGGACCTTTTTGGCCTGGCCAGCGCCTCGCCCAACCTGGGGGTCACAGCCCTCACAGACGAGCAGCTGCAGAGCCTCCCAGACCAGCCATGGAAGGGCGACCTTTCGCCCAGACCCCCCCCCAAAACCTCCAAGAGAGCTCAAATATCAGACCCTCCCGAATTTGGCCCCCCCCCCCCCCCCCGATTTTTGAAATATCCGGAGTGAGCACTTCGCGGAGAGGCTTCCGCGCTGGCCGGGCTATAGCCCGTCTCGGCCGCCTCGGTCTCCCGGCCTCGGCGCCGCGGGCCTCCCAGTGGATCGTGCGCGGCGCGCCGCTCGGCGGCCCTGTCCACCCGGCCAGCGGTGCCCTCCTCGTCGTGCGCCGGGGGGGTCGTCTGGCGCGTGCTCCGCGCCAGGGCGCCGCGCGCCAGCCCCAAGCCCAGACCTCCTCGCGTCGTGAAAAAAACAGGACGCGAGGTTTTGCCCTATTTTCGGCCTCTTGGGGCCCTTACCAGGCCTCGGGGCCGTCAAAAAACGACTCAGGATGAAGAGCGGGTCCCGGGGAATGGGTCCAGAGTTCTGGGGGTCGCGTCATGAAAAAATCATGACGTCGGGGGTCTGGGAGCGTGGGGCGCAGCGGCCGCTTGCGGCGGGGCGCCCGGGCAGACTCTGTGCGAGCCCGTGCCTCTCTCTCTCTCTCTCTCTCCTCTGTCTCTCCCTCTCTTCTCTCAGTCTGCCCATCTGCACGTCTCTCGCTCTCTCTCTCTCTCTCTTTCTCTCTTTCCCACTCTCTCTCCTCTGTCCAGTCCGTCTGTCTGTCTGTCGGTCGGTCGGTCGGTCTGCCTGTTTGGCCTCCACCCGCGTATCTGCCTCTGCCTCGATCTCCGCCTCTGCTTGCATATGCGCCTCCATCTCAGCCGGCTCCTCGCCCCTTTCCTGCTGCTTCTGCTCCATCTTCTTCTCCCACCTGCTCATCCCCCACCTTCGCCTCGTCCTGATCTCCCCTCTTGCCACTTCTGCCCCCGCTCGTCCCAGCCCTCCTCCGTCTCGTCTTCCTTTTTTGCCTCTCGGTCCTCCTCACATTGTTCTTTCTGTCTCGTCATCGTCGTCGTCGTCCTGCTTCCCCTCCTCCTCCTCCTCCTCCTCCTCCTCCTTCTCACCCTGCCCTTCCTTTAGAGAAAGAGGAAAGAGGAATGTGCCGAGGTGAGATCAGGAGACTGGGAGTGCCCCAAATGCGGCACGAATGTGTTCGCCACCAAGGCGGAGTGTTTCAAGTGCGGAGAGCGCAAGCCCAACATGAAGCCGTGGACTTAGACAGCCCCAACCCACAGGTTGTGGCTAGAGCATTGATTTGCCTGATCCTTACATCCGCTGTCTCCTCCTGCTTATCCGAATTACCCCTCCTCCTTCCCCAATTCCATACCATGATCCTTGTCCTTCTCTGTCTCCGTGTCCTAGCCCTGATGATGCGGACATTCACCTATGTCATGCGCCTTCACCTTCGCATGTGCCGCTCGTTGTCATACTCATCATGTTGCTTCGATGTACGCGTTAAGAATCCTCCATCTGCCTCATGGTTCAGCCATGCGAGTTGTTTTAACACCTCGGCATTAGATGTGTCTTTGGTGTTACCCATGTATGTGCAATCCTCGTTCTGACCATCGCTGGCAGTATCCGTCATATGATTTCCCTTTCTTTATTTTTCTTTTCGCTGCTCAATACAACTATCCTGGTACTTCTGCGTATCAGATCATCGTTCTCCATCCTTGTATTCATCTCGCCTCCTTTGGTAGCGTCAGTGTCAATTACTCTTCCAGTTCCGTAATCGTTCTGAGCCTCTTCCTCCTCGTTGGCCCCTTCTGAGTGTCTTTTCACCGATACCCGTATCTCGTCTGAAGGTTTCCGCCTCTGCCGCCCACCCCCAACGAGGCGGGTGATTGTGTGTTTGCTGTGCATTTGTGCTAACAGGCTGTTGCCTCTCCTCCTCTGTGGAACCGACAAGTCGGAAGGCACGTTCATGGCGATAAACGTGCGCTTATATTCGAAGTGTCGCGCGATGGACGTCGAATCTGGATTGGCAGGGAAATGCATCTAGCGGCCGACGGCTCATCCCGCCACCGTGCTTGGGTTGTGGGCCAGAGGCCTCATGGATGCCTGGGTCCGCTTGGTCGGGAGCCTCTTGGAGGCAGTACTTCTTGGGCGCTTGCTGGCGGTCTCGGAGGTGCTTTCAAGGGGGGAAGCTCGTGCTTCCCCTCGTGGGCCCCTCGTGGGGCTCTCGTGGGGCCCTCCTGGGTCGTCTTGGAGGCCTCTTGGGCTGTCTTAGGGGCCCTCCTGTGCCATATTGGGGCAATATTGGGGGCCTCTTAGGCTGCCTTGGAGCGATCTTGGAGGCCTCGTTGGCCTTCTTCGAGCGTTGAGGCACCGAACATGCAGAACAACTCGAACATCGCTTCGAACACTTTAGGGACATCCCTGATTTTCGCCTCCTGGGGCCGTCTTGGGGAGTGATCTTGGCGCTCTCTTGCTGCGTCTTTGGGGCTCCTTGGGCCGTCTGGAGGCCATCTTGGGCATCTTGGAGCGTTCCTTCGACGACGCTGGGCCCTCTTGGACCGTGTCGGAGACCACACAGGGCCTGTTTGACCCTCTTGGGGTCCCTTTGGGCTCCGACGACGTCACGCGACAAGGCGCGACGCGCCCCGGGGAAGTACGCGACGCGCCCGAGGAAGTTGGATAACTCCGGGTCTCGGTCCCTCAATCTTCAATCCGCCGGGTTGAGCGACTGAGGAAAGCTCACGGGACCTGAGGACACTCCAATTCGTGCCTCGCAACACGGTGGCGGGTTATGATGGTCAGGAGGGTCAGGTTGAAAGGAGGATAACATAGTTTTCGGGTGTCCTGAACAGTTTTTTGAAATGTGGAGTTTTTGCAGAAGTGGAGGCGGAGGACGTGGACGAGACACAGGAAGGTCTAGATGGAAGCCGACACATGAAAAAAAGGAGGAGGAGGAGGAGGAGGGGGAGGAGGAATAGGAGGACAGGCAGGCTTCACAGGCATCCTGGAAAGATCCCAGGTGGAGGAGGATGAGAAAGAGGAGGAGGAGGAGGAGGAACAAGAGATTCCAGCAGCATGAGGAGAACGACGATGATGATGAGGATCAGGAGTCTGAGGAGGAGTAGGACGTCAAGATAGGGGACGTGCAGGCGTAAAAGGATGGAGAGGCGGACGATGGGGAGAACGACGATGAGGATGATCAGGAGAATCCGGCGGAGGACTATGAGTAACAGGATGTGGACAATCAGGAGGAGCAGGTGCGCTACTTTCAGTTGTCGCTCGAAGCTACGCCCTGGAGTTGCTCCTGGTTGCTCAGGGTTGCCCCAGTTTGTCCCGCCAATTCTCGGGATCGGTGTTTCGATAGCTGTCCCGGCAGTCGTCCTGATGGTTATCTTGACGGTTGTCCCGCCGGATGTCCCGATTGCAGTCCCGACGGTTGCCTTGCCAGTGGTCGCGATGGTTGTCCCGAGGAGTGTCTCGATGATTCCCTGCCTCCCTTCGTCCCCCACCCCAATCGTGGACCTTGGATCGCCGATCCATTAGTCTTGTGGAGTCGGGGCGGTCGATGGGGCTCGCGGTTGGTGGAGCTGTGCCACGCTCTGGGGCGGCTCGGGCCAGACCGCCCGAGATCGGCATCAGTCCGTGGATCGACGTCGACTGGGTAGCTGAGGAGGCGGAGACGGAGAAGGATGAATCTGAAGATAACTGAGAGCGAGTGTTTCGAGAATGATGAGGGCGACGGTGATGGTGATGATAGTGGTAGTGGTTAGAGGTGGCGAGGATGTGGATAGTGATCGATGGTAATGATGACGATGGCGGTGGTGGTTGTGGTAAAGGTGTGGCTGAATATCATGGTCATGCTGATAATGATGCTGATGGTGATGGTCATGGTGTTGATGCTGCTTCTGCTGCTGATGATGCTGATGATGACGATGACTATGATGAGGTTGTTGATGTTGATGATCATGCTGGTGGTGATGATGACGATGCTGTTGACGGTGACTATGATCAAGCTGGTGTCAGTAGTTCGGATTATGATGTTGTCGTCAATGATGCTGGTGCTGTTGCTGATGATGGTGGTGCCGCTACTGCTGCTGCTGCTGCTGACGATGACGACGACGACAACGATGCTCGTGATGTTGCTGATGATGCTGATGATGCTGATGCTTATGCTGATGATGATGCTGATGGTGATTATGGTTATGATGATGGTGGCGGTGATAATGATGACGATGATGGCGATGACGATGATGAATGATGCTGATGATATTGATGCTGATGATGATTATGACGATGACGATGGCGTTGATGATGATGATGATCGTGATGCTGATTACGATCATGATCATGACGATGCTGATGCTGATGCTGATGCTGATGTTGATGATGATGATGATGATGATTATCATGATGGTGGCTGAGGATGATGACGCTGACGTTGACGTCGACGTTGGCGACGACGACCACGATGATGATGATGATGATGATGGCGATGATGATTATGATGCTGATGATGCTGTTGCTGATGATGCTGACGACGATAATGATACTGACGATGAAGATGGTGATGCTGATGAGGATGATGGTGCTGATGATGATGCGGATGCTGATGGTAATGATGACGATGCAGATGCTGATGATTCTGATGATGATGAATGATGCGGATGATGAGGATGAGGATGACGATCATGATGCTGATGATGATGACGTTGACGCTGACGATGCTCCTGATGATGACAATGACTATGACGACTACGATTTCGATAATAGGGATGATGCTGATGATGATCAGGATGACGATGATAACGATGCTGATACAGATGATGATAATGATGATGCTGACGATGACGACGACGGCGACGATGACGATGACGGTGATGATGACGATGACCATTACGATGCTGATTCTAGAGGATGATGATGATGATGATGATGATGATGATGATGATGATGATGATGATGATGATGAGGGGGGTGAGGATGAGGATGAGTGTGAGCATGAGCATGATGATGATGACTATGATGATGACGACTATGATGATGATGATGATGACGATGCTGACGATGACGATGATGATATTGCCGCAGATGATGATGATAATGACGATGCTGACGATGACGATGATGATGATGATGATGATGATGGTGGTGGTGGTGGTGATGATGCTGATTATGATTATGATTGTGATGATGATGATGATGATGATGCTGCTGCTGATGATGATGATGATGATGATGATGATGATGATGATGATGATGCTGATGCTGATGCTGATGCTGATGCTGATGCTGATGCTGAGGATGATGATGCTGCTGATAATATTGTGGTTGTGGTGGTGAAGAGGAAGGCGGAGGAGGAGGAGGAGGAGGAAGAACTGGAGGAGCAGGTGTAAGGGGAGAGTGTAGAGGAAGAGGAGGAGCATGAGGAGTAGGAAGAAAGTCTGGAGGAGCAGGAGGAAGGAAAAGAGGAGGAGCAGGAGGAGGAGGAGGAGGATCGTGGATCGGGGAGGAACGTTGAAGAGGAGGAGGGAGATGAGGAGGAGGAGGAGGAGAAGGAGGAGGAGGAGGAGATGACCAGTAGAGGACGAGATGAATCAGGAGTAGGAGGAAGCGATGCTGCTAAGGCGAGGGGAATGGGCGTGCCCGAAGTGCGGCGCCAGCGTGTTTGCCTCCAGGGCCCAGTGCTTCAAGTGCAAAACGCTCAAGCCCGATATGAAGCCGGGGGACTTGGCCTTAGCACAGCCTGGCTGGACGAGCAGGGTTGGACGACGAAGGGGGAGGATGAGAAGCAGGAGGGGCTCTGGGTGGTGGAGGTGGCGCCACTGGGGTGGTCCTTGGAACGGAGGTGGGTGGGGTTGTCCATCGCCTGTCCGAGCTCTTTGTGGGCCAGGCCTGGCCATGCTGCAGCCCGCGCGCGCGCGCGGGCGCCAACCGACGCCACTGGCGCGGTGCTCGCCCCGCGGCCTGCCCGCGAGAAGCGGTGCCGGGAGCCGTCGCCCTCTCGAGGCCGCGGCGCCTCCGGCGACGCCTGGCACCTCGAGGTGCCCGCACACGTTCGCCCGCAGGGCCCACGACGGCGAGGCTCCGCGCGAGGGGGGGCGCCTCCCGCCCCGCGACAGAGAGCCGCCGATCCCGCCGCGCGCGCCGGCAGGCACTCCGAGGTGGAGTAGGAGGAGGAGGAGGAGGAGAGGAGGACGTTGAGGAGGAGGTGGAGGAAGGAGGAAGGAGGAGGAGGAGAGGAGGAGGAGGAGGAGGAGGAGCAGGAGGAGGAGGGGAGAAGAGGAGGGGTGGAGGAGGGAGGCTTCGTCAACGACAATGCGGCCATCAGGCAGAATACAGCGTCAGGTGTAACAGAAGGGGAGAAGAAGGCTAGAGGTAGGAGGAGGAGGGGAGAAGGAGGCGGAGAGGAGAGGAGGAGGAGGAGGAGGGAGGAGGAGGGAGGAGAGGAGGAGGAGGAGGAGGAGGAGGATGAGGAGGAGTGAGAGGAGGAGGAGGAGGAGGCGGAGGGCGGAGGAGGAGGAGGAGGAGGAGGAGGAGGCGGAGGAGGAGGGATGAGGAGGAGGAGGAGGAGAAGGAGAGGAGGGAGGCGGAGGAGGAGGAGGAAGGAGGAGGAGGAGGAGGTAGGAGGAGGAGGAGGAGGAGGAGGAGGAGCGGAGGAGGAGTCGGAGGAGGGAGGAGGAGGAGGACGGAGGCGGAGGAGGAGGAGGAGGCGGATGAGGAGGAGGGAGGGGAGGAGAGAAAGGGGAGAAGAAGAGAAGAAGAATATAATAAGAAGAAGGAATAATCATAGAAGAGAAGAAGAAAATAAGAAGAAGAAGACGAAGAAGACGAAGGAGGGAGGAGGAGGAGGCCCGGAGGGGAGGAGGAGGAAGGATAGGGATGTGAATGATTATGATGATGATGATGAATGATGATGATGACGATGATGATGATGATGATGATGATGATGATATGTGATGATGATGATGAAATGAATGATGCTGATGATGATGATGATGATGATGTGATGAATGATGATGATGATGATGATGATGATGATGAGATGATGGTGGTGGTGGTGGTTGGTGGTGGTGGTGGTGGGTGGTGTGAATGATGAATGATGATGATGATGATGATGATGATGATGATGATGATGATGATGATGATGATGATGCTGATGCTGATGCTGATGCTGATGCTGATGCTGATGCTGATGCTGCTGATGATGATGAGGAGGAGGAGGAGGAGGAGGAAGATGAGGTGGAGGAGGTGTGGGACGAGGAGGAGGAGGAGGAGGAGGAGGAGGAGGAGGAGGAGGAGGAGGAGGATCATCAGGACTTGGTCAGGCCCAGATCAGGCGACTGATCGGGCCGATCCTCCGATCTGTCGAGAACGGGGCTGTCGATGGGAAGCTCGATCGGCAGGGTGCTCTGCACCTCGGGACTGATCGGGCTGGCCGAGTCAAGATCGTGATTAGGCTGTGGATCAGAGTAGCACGAGGGTTCTAAGGACTGGGCGTGCCCGGCGTGCGGCGCCTGCGTATACTCCAACAGGCTCGACTGCTTCAAGTGCGGAGTGCGGAAGCCCGACAAGCCCGACGATGCAGGCAGCGTCGGCCCGCGTGGCCGCAGCGCCAGAAGCAGCACCACCAGCAGCAGCAGCCGCTCACCGACCCCCAAGCCCAGAGAGCCCAGCGTGGTGCCCCTGGAAAAAGAGACGGGCAGCGCAGGCATCAACCCCGCGACTTTGCCGCTCGCTGTGAAACGCACCCTGCCGCCCCGCAGCGTGCCCGAGCGGAGCCGCAGCCCGCGCCCCCACGGCGGCCCTCGGCGCAGCCCGCCGCGGCGCAGCCCGCCGCGGCGCAGCCCGCCGCGGCGCAGCCCGCCGCGGCGCAGCCCGCCGCGGCGCAGCTCCACCGCGCGCAAGCCGCGCCTCGGCGCAGCCCGCCTCGGCGCAGCCTGCGTGGAAGCCCGACGCGTGGAGCCCGCCGCCGCGCGCCAGCCCCGCCGCGGCGCAGCTCGCGCGACGCTGCCCGTATGGCCCCTCCGCGGCGCAGCTGGCCCGCCGCGCGGTCTGTCGCCGCGCGGCCCGCCGCCGCGCGGTCTGTCGCCGCGCGGCCCGCCGCCGCGCGGTCTGTCGCCGCGCGGCCCGCCGCCGCGCGGTCTGTCGCCGTTCGGCCCGCCGCCGCGCGGTCTGTCGCCGTTCGGCCCGCCGCCGCGCGGTCTGTCGCCGCGCGGCCCGCCGCCGCGCGGTCTGTCGCCGCGCGGCCCGCCTCCAGACAGCATGCCATGGCACACCCCGTGGCGCAGCCGGGCTGGCAGTCTGGGGCATGGCCCTCCTCCACGTCGCAGTATCTGCGACGTGGGAGACCGCAGCCAGGGCCGCAGCCGCTTCGAGGAGGAGAAAGGTTGCTACGACCGGCGCGACTGGTCGGACCTGGAGAGCATTGGCCAGAGCTTTGGCCGCAAGGACGACGAGCGTGGTCGCTACGACCGGTACGCCCAGAGGGGCCCTCCCGACCCCAGGGACCAGTGGGACCGTTATGAACGTTTGGACCGTCCTGACCGCTACGCAGACGAGCGAAGCCGCTACGACCGCCCCGACTGGAGGGACCTGTACGACCGCTGGGACCGGTACGACCGGGAGCGCAGCCGCTATTGAAGGCCGCCGCGGCCGCTGGTCGTACAAAGCCGTGGTGCATGGGCACGGGGTGGATCGGGAGAGGCAGGGGGGAAGGAAGGAGGAGGAGGAGGAGGAGGAGGAGGAGGAGGAGGAGGAGTAGGAGGAGGAGGAGGAGGGTATCAAGGAGGAGGAGGAGGAGGAAGGATCAAGGAGGAGGAGGAGGAGGATCAAGGATGAGGAGGAGGAGGAGGAGGAGAGGAGAGGAGAGGAGCAAACGGGGCAGGGAGGGGGTGAACGGAGGAGGGGGAGGAAAAGGCGGGGGAGAGAGACGAGGCCGGAGGCGAGGAGAAGAGGGGGGGGTGGGGCAACAAAAAAAAAAGCGCCAGCGGCGGCGCGCGCGGCGCCCGCGAAGCAGAGAGGCTCGGCGGCCGCCGCTGCGGAGGCAGCCGCACCTGGCTTCGGCGCCCCCTCGTGTCCGAGGGCGGGCCCGCCGCTGCCGGACCTCGGCGCGGCCCGCCTCGGGCCTGCGAGGCCACCTGCGGCACGAGCCCCCGCCCCGCCTCGGGCACTCTGCGCTCGGGCACCGCCGCCTGCCGCCTGCCGCCCCATCCCGCCTCCTCTCCCCCCCTCCTGCTCTCCTCCTCCTCCTCCTCCTCTCCTCCTCCTCCTCCTCATCTCCTCCTCCTCCTCCCTCCTCCTCCTCCTCCTCCTCCTCCTCCTCCTCCTCCTCCTCCTCCTCCTCCTCCTCCTCCCTCCATCTCCTCCTCCTCCTCCTCCTCCTCCTCCTCCTCCTTCCTCATCCCTCCCCTCCTCCTCCTCCTCCTCCTCCTCCTTCCTCCTCCCTCCTCCTCCTCCTCTCCTCCTCCTCCTCCTCCTCCTCCTCCTCCCCTTGGCTGCCCCGGCACGCCCGCGCGGGCACGCGGCACGCACGCCACGCCGCAGACGTCCCGCGCGGGCGCGCGCCGCGTGCCGGCCCGCGGCGCGTCGGCCCAGCTCCGGGCGAACGTGCCGCGCCAGGGCTTCACTTTCAGTCGACCGCGACCGCGACTCGGATTTTGACGAGGAGGAGTTTTGTGGGATGTCTGCAGCGGGAGGCCTCGTCAAAATGTAGGCTCGGCCTCGTCATTTTTTTGACGACCTCGTCGGGGATTTCCGAGTCCCCTGTACCCAGGTCTTACGTCCCCCTGAGTCTACAGTGCCGTTTTTGATACGTGCTCCTCGTGCGGATCATGCATCAAACATGCCGGGATCTAGTACTAAACCCAGACATGATCGCGTCGTTAAAAATTCAGGACAGAGGTTTTTGGCTATTTTCGGCCTCTGGGGGCCCTCGCCGGGCCTCGGGACCGTCAAAAAACGACTCAGGACGAAAAACCGGCCCCAGGGAAAGGGTCGGGACTTCTGGGGACGCCGTTCTGAAAAAAATCAGGACGTCGCATGTCTGGGAAAACAACGATGAGTTCGTGCATGATTCATACATTGATCGTGTATTAGAAAGCCTATATGTTTCAACATCCTATGTATCAAAAGCTGCCCTGCACGTGTTGAGCTCCGTGCCAACACGCTACGGGTTGCGCGTCGCGTGCCGGGGCAGCCAAGCCCTCGAGGAGCAAGATGAGCGCTCGGAGGTCCGCGCGCGTGGCCTGCATCGGCGCAGGGCCCTCCCGGCGGCGCCTCCGCTGCCGCCCCCTGGCGCGCTCCGCGCGCCAGGGAAGGGGTCCAGCGCAGATCCAAGAAATCCGGTCTGACCTCCCAACGTTCATGTTTCTGCCGTAGTTTGTTTCGGGGGTGGATAGAACCCCCAACAGTGACACGTCGATTAGTGAATTGTCCGTTTTCGGTTCTCGAGAGGGCGCCGTGGCTGTTATTTTCCAGGCTTGCGCCCACCAGGTTTTGGCCTCAGGTCGTTTTCGCTAAACCACGTTTTACTAAAGGGGGGTCTGTCCATCCCCGATTGTTCCTCGCTCCCCCGTGCCCGCTCCCGTGCCGGGGGCCCCCACATGGCGCGGCGGCCACACCGTGTGGTGAGTCAGCGGGGATCCGGGGTGGCCGCAGGGTTTTGTTCTGGGACTCGGGCCGTTCTCCAGGGACGCCTCGGGCAGCTGGGGTTAGGTCGGGCCTGTCCCCCTACAGGAGAATTTTCGACGAAAAATGAGAAATACCCCCAAAATTGCCCAAAAATAGTGCAAAAAGAGCCTGGGGATTATTTGTTGAATATTTTTTGACCTTTTTAGGGCATTTTGGGTTTTTTTTTATGTTTCGTCGAAAATCC